CAGAGACGAGTCCACTGTCCGACGCTACAGGACGACCACTGGAGAGTTTTACTAGTTCTGTTTTCATGCTATCGACTGAATTTCTTTAAACCATTTTTTGTGCAGATGGTCACATATTTTTTAATGTTCCCTCAGTTCTCTGCTCACTAACTTCTGTGTCCACAGAGCGAGGTCTTCCCTGAGCCCATGTTCACCTGGACCAAGGTTGGCGGACGCCTGTTGGACGGCAGAGAGGAACATGACGGGAGGGAGCTCATCTTAGAGAGAGTTCCCGCCGAGCTCAACGGCTCCATGTTCCGCTGCACGGCCCAGAACCCTCTGGGTTCCACCGATACCCATACCCGCCTCATTGTGTTTGGTGAGTCCGTGGGTCGGTCTGGTCATTCAGTGCTTGCTCTGCAGTTTAAAGTAAATGCTTTTTTATTTTGTGTGTTTTTTACAGACAACCCAAGACTGAAGAAAGGAAAAGAACATTACATCGGTAAGGAAACTCAAGGTCACAGTCCTCTCATGAATGTAATCGTATATCAATAGAAACAAGGTGATCACAGGAATCTGGGCTGTTTTCCAGCATTTATTAATGATAATAGAGGAACTCAAGTCATTATTATGAATGCTATTTCATCATTCTTTTCTATCCAAAGTAATCAAGTTTTCCACGTATCATTTCTTAATGCTACATTTCATGACAATAGTGTTGCATGTCCTGGGCTTTTTAAGTAATTGCTGTAAAAAAAAAAACAGTAAACGACAACAATCTTTTTATTTCTGTAGCTTAACGAGGCCGTACCTGTTAGCCAGTTGGCTAACTGTAAGGTTAAATATGTGAGGGAATCAATAAAGGAATAGGGCACACACTACACAGCTGGCAGTTGGAGGTCATTTGACAAAACAAAATGAAAATGAGTCTCTATGCTCAGACCTAAACAAAACAAAAACAAAAATAAAAAACGTTGTCTTATTTAGGTGGTAATGACTCTCTCCAGATTGAGTCATCAGTACAAACAAGTAAAAAACAATGCTTCAATAAAGACAACTCAACTGTGTACAACACCAACACTGATACCTGTCAAATAAAACTGCAGCAGCTATTCCCTCTACTGTCAGATTTAACTGTGGTGTTCCTCAAGGCGCCATCTTTAGCCCACAGCTCTTTTCCATGCAGATCAGATCATTTCAGACTTAAAGACTTTTATTACACGTAGTTAAAGGTCCCCTTCAAACCAACAGCCACAGGTCTGCGTAATGTTGGCTGCCCCAAAATGTTTTCAACTTTAAACATGATAATGTTTAGGTCGTTGGTCCCACTAACTGTTCTCAACAACATTACGTAATCAGTCAGAACATTCGGAGTTATTTTTCATGTGGATCTTTCTTTTGGTGCACATTGCAGCTAAAACAAATCAACAAAGATAAAACAAACAAAATACCAACATTAGATTTTTCCTGTCTGTCTCTTATATGGACATTATACATGCATTTTCCCCCCCAATGCACTTTATGCTGGTATCCGTCTGGGCTCCCACCACCGACTCCGTTTGGCTCTTAAATGGCTCTAAGAACATGATTATATTACTCTCACACCAGCTACCTGAAAAGTCCTGCATTGATTTTAAAATTCTGATAATCACCTTTAAAGCATTACGTGGCCTTCCTCCAATCTGCGTCAAAGACCTTTTAATCCCTTATGTCCCGGGATGCTCTCCATGATAAGTAAATAGGGCTTGGCTGGCCATGTCTTGGTCCTGGCTGGTGAACAAGAGCGATCTGTGGAACGGTCCATCGATATCAGACCGGAAACACTTTAAAACGTTTGTCTTTTATTGTAAAACCTTTGTGAATGTTTGATAAATCCCCCCCCTGATGATCGCACTCAGTTTTATCGATGTAATTTTTGTTGAACAATGCCGCACACATCGAGGTTTTCATCAGTTTTATTATGACTGCTGTTATTAAGGTAAATCAGGCTTAGATAAATGCACAGTACCTCTTAGTAGGATGCATTTATTGTTGGCTGCATGGGATTAGTTGACAATGAAAATATCCTTTGATTGGAAGTGGTTGCGTGACACTGTGACGGTCGTATGTAACAGCGCGCCGTCTTGTTTTGTGTGCAGCGATCAACGCGGCGGTCAGTCGTCGCTCAATCACGTTGACCTCCATGTTGCTGCTGCTGGGATTCCCCTGTGAGCTGACGTGACCCGACCTTCTGGCAGTCCTGAACACATCCACATCCACCCGAGGCACCGGCTCCTAAAGACACCCCTGACAGTAGCTAAACCTCCAAACAGCTGCAGCTCAGCTCGGCTGGAATTCTGAAGGAGCAGAACGTCTCCAACCCCGGGAAAGAGGGCAGCTTCTGACTAAAAAGATGCTGTACGTATTCATTGAACCGTGAGCAACTTTGGGTTCCTCCACCCCGACTGATCATGAGTATGTAAGAGGACTCCAACTGGAATCTGGGGAACCTGTAAATGTCTGAAGGGCTCACATTCGATCGGAGGGGAAAATACGTAGCATAAGGGAAGGGTAGTCCTCACGATAACCAGACGAGGTGCGTCTCGTATATATACTGCAAAGGAGCAATTACCAAAATAAAAGCTTTTCTCAACTTCACTCCAACTGATTCCATCATGAAAATGACAGCGGTGCCCGTGATCAGCCATAAAGATCTGTGAGACAAAAACCCATCAGGTCATTGTTGGTTTGGGCTGTTATTCTGTGGGATCTATTCACAGAGTTTGGAGTTTTTAGGAATCAACATCTGCAGCTGCAGAGTAAGGGTGTGGTTTTGTTTGTCTGTGAACTCCACGGCACAATCGATTATTCCTGAAAACACAGTCTTCCATTGATTTGTCCACTTTCCTTACTAAGGGGTCGTAATAATGTGTGCAGACCCTGAAGCAGGATCAATCATTCCCTCTGAACACCTGCTCTGGAAGAGGTTAAGTTCAGAAGTCTGGATTTAACTTGGCTGACCCGTTGAGCCCTGCAGTTACAGCAGCACAAACTGTGGCTACGTTCCAAATGACATTATTTTCTTTTTAATAACTAACTACTAACTGTTTCATGCCGTTTGCATAATAGGACACATTACTCTGTCGTAACATTGCGCCTTAAACTTTGCCGTCTGTCTGCACACCGTCAGCAACCCAAACTTGTTGATACTTGCATGAGACACTTCTTACTTCCACGCATGTGACAGAACTGAGCAGAGGATTGTGGGTCAGAAGGGCCAGCAAAGCAAACTCTGACCAGATATAGTCGGATACCCTGCTACGTCTGTGAAGACTCTCAGTCCTCCAGGTCAGGGTTATTCTCGTAGTTTAATCGTAACAACTGGACTTGCTGTTAACACCTGAGTTTCGGTTTCAGAAACTGAGAGTTTCAGTTGGGGAGCAACAAACTACCATCTGAAACCGAAACTCAGGTGTTAATGGCTCCTTAAGGATAGAAGTATCTGGAACTCCCAACTCGTCAGTCAGAACTGATGAAGCCTCTTAGTTGAGAGGTGGAACGTCTTCAAGGAACTCAAACAAGTCCAGTTGTTACGATTAAACTACGAGGACACCCTGCTAAGTATGTAGACATACTAAATCTATGCATACTATAAGGTAAAATATGATGGATGTTGGATTGCACCACATTGGGAACCTACTCAGTTTGTGATGTAGGAAATGCATAAGGGTCATTTCATGTCAGCTCAGCGATGGTGGTTGCTTGACCATCTCAGAACCTGTTGAAACTTTGTAGGAATGATCTTTGGCATCTGAAACTGACAACTGCCCTTTTCTTTTTTACCCAATAGAAATTTTTTTAATAGACCTCTCGCAAGTTAGAAATTGAGCAAGATGCCACTTTCAGACGTCCACATCTCTGGAAGTATACGTACCAGAGTCTTTACATGTTCAGGAGGTGTTCAGACGTTTACGGACAGAATGCAGCACATTCTGACAATCAAGACTCAATTTTGTGCTTAAGAGCTTCCAAGTTCAGGATTTGTTCACAATGCCTTCATGTTAAAATCATTCTGCTCCAGACTATTATTTTTAAATGGGAAGTGATGACTTGGGTTGAAGACATAAAAATGAAGCGTTTTTTTATGGCATTACTGAAGGATGTTGAAAGTTGACACACCAGTAGATGATACTTCCATCTCTTACTGTTCTAAATTTCATCAGTCTACCCATGATTCAAGACGTCCATCTGGCTGTTTGGAAATTACTTTTTTCCCCCCCCGTGTCAACTTTGATTGGTCATAACTCCCATTTCTACTGACATATGAAAGCTTTCTAAGCATTAGTGATGTCATTCAGATTATCGTTCCATCAAATAGATCCTATGTATTGGAGATATATTTTTCCCAGCTTTTTGAAAATCCACTTGGTTTGCAATTTTTCAACAAATCCTGAACTTGGAAGCTCTTAAGCAAAGAGCTGAGTCTTGATGGTCAGAATTTGCTGCATTCTCTCCGTTCACCAGAAACTTCTGAACACCTCCTGAACAACTCTAGGACGTATACGTCAAGAGATGTGGATGTCTGAAGGTGGCATCTCGCTCAATTTCCAACTCGCAAGAGATTTATTGAAAACTTCCACTGGGGGGTAAAACTATGAAAATGTTGGAATTCCAGCTAAACAACTGGCAGATGTCAGTTTCTGATGCCAAAGATCTTTTTTTTCAAAGTTGCAGCAGACTGTGAGATGATCAAGCAACCATCTTGACACCCATAAGTCTGTTTCACACTGTAAATATTCAATCAGTAACTTTAATTTCACCATAATTTGGGCCAACCCAAAGTGATTTCCTTCCTTCGTTATGGCGTCAGACCTAAACACAGTTCTTAAATATGGTGTTTAAATAAATTTTAACATGCAGCTGTCCCAGTAGAAATAAGCAGCTTAACTGAAACAAACATTAACCTCCATGTGCAGTTCTCCATCAGCACTCATCTCCTGATGCAGTGACACTGCTGCTTTTCATCATTCTACAATTTTTTATATTTTTCATGGAAAAAGGGGAGCGAGAGCGACATAAATCCCAGCACGTCAAATCTAAACACGAGATAATATCAACAGTCTTTTTTTCTCCAGAATCGCAGACTTCACCTTTAAGCAAATACTTCTAACAACATGTTCAAGTGTTGGAGATGTGTTGTCATCAAACGCTGCTCCTTCTGTCTGTAAATATAACTTTCCTGAGCTCAGTTTCAACTTCGTCCGTCCACAAACCTCTGTAACTCATCCACATGTTGCTGCACAGCTGTTCCAGATGTTGTCTTGAATTCACCTCAACTGTAATGTTAACCGCATTTCAAACAGTAGGAATTACAAGCTGGAAGCACCAGAATATCCTTTTTTTATAGGCATCAGCAAGTGTGCAGGACAAAACTCTGGGCTTTTTAACGTAAACAGACTCTGAGTGAACTTCCTTTCTTGATCCAAACATCTGACAACACATCACTGAGGAAACAGCTGTGCACATGAATCTGTAGCGGTTGTTATAAAACTGTTCATACAACATTTACAAAATTATTGATGATCTGCACGCAACTACAAATAACGTTATAGCTTTGTAGACACATTTTTTTATCAGTGGTAGAAGTTACTGCAGGAGATCTTAGTGAAGACTGACTGCAGCTGACCTGCTTCCTCTCTGTTCATGTCAGTTACAGAATACAACAAACACTAGTCGCCACACAGTGGGTGTAGAACTCTGGTAGTTTATTCGAAGCAGTGCTCCCACAACCCCCCCGCTGTGTTTCAGTGCAATTTATTCTCCCCGACTTGAACTGATAGTCTCTTATACTCAAAACGGAGCATCGAAGGCAGTTTGTTACAGTTTACATTATCTTCTGTGGTTAATCTCCGTACGTCATCATTATTACAGTATGTACACTGGTTTAGAGTATTGGTATGTAGCTCTATTTACATTTTTATCTCTTCACAAACATATAGAACAACTGTAGGATGTGTACACCTGTCGCCGTCGGCAGTTATGGAAACACAGAGAACCAAAGTGATTTCTAAACACACAAAGTCAAACTAGCACTGGCCTGCATCGTGGGTTTAGGTCGCGTCTATGTGCTTTCTCCAACATCAGCTCGTGTCTGACTGTTCCCTTCGCTGGAGTTCGTCAGATGCAATAAAAAGCTGTGGCCTGCAAAAATAAATCTTGTCTTCTCTGGATTTTTTTTTAGAAAAGTCCAACATACACACGAGCAGGAGTCCCGATCAGGACTCGAGCAGTAAGCAGTCCTCGTTCTCACTGGCCGGCAGCATCAGCTGCTGCTCGTAGTACAGGCTCTTGGCATAGTTAATTTCTTGGGAGATTTTGATGGCGAGGTTCTCACTCTTCACATGGACCTGTGGAGAGAACAGAGTCAGCACATTAACAGAGCACTGAGCATCAAACTGAACACATTCCTGATCCCTGAAGTCTGGTTCCTGGTTAAATATTGTCTCTGATCACCTTTAAATGCCGCGTTAGTCCTGAGAGCTTCAGCTGCTCAACATGAACCGTCACAATGCTTTGGCCAGTTCACAGCAGGGTCACTAGAGGTCAGAGTCACAGGTCTATGATCGGCCATACATACGACCTGGATCCATCCGGCAGCAACAACAACAATCGTTTCTATATTCCGAATGTGGAAAAATGACGAGCAGCAGACTCATGAAAGCAGACAGGAGCCGTTCATACGTGTTGTGACTCCGTCTGCCTGCTGTGGGCCAGTGATGATGAGGCAGCTTTATAAAACGAGTCGTCAAAAATCACTTCTTGTCGAAGTAAACGGCATCTTTAAAAAAGGTTTTCAAGGATAAAGTCTTCAGTCTTCAGAGTCTGATGTGAATAATGTTAATTCAACACAGAGGCTGTGAGAACAAACATGAGCAAAACCTTGAGATTTTAACCAACAAAGCAAGTTTACTTTTCCTTATAAACTTGTGCAAACTTCTCCCAACTCTCCTCCTACTAATGAAAAACCAAACCTGAGGCAGCATTGACGTATACTTGTAATCTGACACTCATAACCGCGGTGCTCTCCTTTCCCCTCCCAGCAAATGGGAGGCTACACCCACCCCAGAAACCCCCTCTCTTCTCTGCCAGGCCCTGGTGACCTGGATTTCAACTCAGAACTTGGGCGTCCGGCCTTTCATCGGTTGTACACAGGATTGTTCAGTATATTCATGAATCAGTTTACACGTCATATTTTCTCGTCTTCTTAGTTAAGCTTAAATCAGATTTAAACATCACAATCACATCTCCAGTTTTGTCATTTGTTCGAACATCTGCTCTCGTTCAGGCTCGGTGGGTGTTGTGCTGATCAACGTGACGAAGTGGAGTCGTTTAAATGAGCGTAAAAAGAAGCATCACTTGTGCGTCTACAAAAAATCAGAACGCTAGAATAAGTTTATTATTTTCAGTCAGTTCAGTAGGAGAGTAAAAATGTGACGTGTTCTTGTTTTAATTTTGATGATCACGGCTCCAGCACCCCAAAATATTACAAGTTTTTGTTTGATACGATGATCGGTTTTATTAATGAAGCATTAAAAATGTTTAAACTAGCTGAAAAATCCACTGTTAAACTGTTTGAGTAAAAGAAGAATGATCAGGGGCAGCTACTGACTTTGTTATACGAAGAGTCGTTGGTGAGTTAACCCCAACAAACTTTCAGCTGATTTGACTTTGAACATTAACATGTTGAGGACAAAACCAGCTGGATCCTGCACTGCTATGAGACAGCGATAACAATTTGGACACTCCTGTCTTTCTGCTGCATTAGTGTCTGTTTACAGAAAACACACGGTCCTTTTTTTTCAACAAACTACGGAGCGAAATCGTACAAACTCATATGGGAAATTTAAAAAAATAAAAAATAAAAAAACGGCAGTGTTTGAAATGCACATTTTTGCACGACAAAACCACAATCACCCCGTTGTCGTCTTCTATTTCCTGTTGTGTGATGGAATCTGTTTCTTTCTTTCACTCACATTGTCCAACCTCACAGATCCTCCGTCTCTCTTACCCAACCGTTAGCTCACCGATGCTCTCTGAAAACATTTTATTTTAGCAGAAAGGAAAAGAACGACCTTCAGCTACCTCCATTAGAGTCCTAACGAGGGCTGCACAAGATGTTGTTTCAGCACCAGATGTTGCGATGTGTGAATATGTAATGGAGCAGCTCGGACCAGAGGATCAATTAGCTCGTTCTGCTAACGGTACTTTAGACAGTATTGTGTTGCATCTCATCAGGTGTCCGATGTAATGTGTCTCTGATGCACTTTTGCTTTCCAAATCCAACCTGGTGTCGTGTCTGTCGGAGCCACGAGGTGACAAACGTCCCAGAGCGTGATTAAAGTCTCTACAGCTGATGCGGGAGATGTCGGTTACCAGAAGAGTCCCAAATTGTTTGCATTTCAGAAGAGCATTTCTGAGTGTTTTATATCTTGTATCTGGAAACAGATGTTCACAAAATACTTTTCTGCACAAACACAGTGTTTTAAAAAAGTACAAATCTTTTCTACACATGCACGAACAGCAGCTTCTGGAAACTTTTGACTTATTTGTAAGTCTAGTGACCCTAGTTAGAGAAAAAAACGTGATTATTTAGAGTGTGTTGAATGATGCCAAACCCGCTGTACAGTGACAACTCACCATGGGTTTCTGGTGGGAGGTGCCGGGAATGGCCACGCCACTGCTGGTGTTCTCCGCCTTCTTGGTGAGCTGCACGTAAACCTTCCCGTGATCCTTGGAGACCAGACAGTGGTAGAGGTCGTCGTACTTGACCTCCAGGAAGATGGCCTCCCGGTCCACGTAGTCCCCCGGCTTCAGGAAGTAGACCACCTTGGAGGAGATGAGGACGCAGTAGCTGTCGATGAGCTCCACGGCGATGAAGCTGGAAACAGAGCGTAAAGTCTTAGCCGACGGACGCTGCTAATCAGGTGTGAGGACACGAACGATGACCCGAGCGAGACTCACAACTCAGAGTGGATGTTGTCGGTGAGGCGGAACAGCTGCTCCTGACCGTCGGCCTGCGTGGCCGAGTACCGAGGCAGCAGGCCCTGAGGTCCTTTACAGCAGCGAGGCTTCCTGACGCGCTGCACGTTGAGCCTGAACCACAACAAAACGCACAGTTCACACACAACGTTTATGTCGAGAGGGAGTTTATCCACAGTATTTAACAGATTCATGAGACCACCTGTCGAATTTGTTATATGTGTATGTATATGTTATCGACCATCCAGCATCATGAAGGGCTTTAATTCGCACTCAGTTCTCCACGTTTTACCATTTTTGTTCAGGAATGAGGAATTTCAAACTGAATTCACCTTTTTATGTCCCTCTGAGCTTCTCTGAGAAGTCAGAAATGAATCAAGCATCACATTCAACCACTAAAACTACATTTTTCTGTTCAGGAATGTAAATAAATAACTATAATTTAACATCTTAATCAAGAAATAACGATGTGCTTTACTGTTTTTTCTGGGGTTTTTACTGTAAAACAGTACATTTGAAAATTCCTGGATAACAACAATAATTGTATTTTAGTATTAAACATATCCTTTTCGTTAAAGAGCTTCTGGTGTATTAACCACCACAGAAACATAAGAAATGATGTTGGTAATTACCAAAGCTGTTAATGTAGGGTGTAAACCTGACACTGGGTGGTGGTCTAGTAGATTTGTTAAGCGCTGTCTGTTGACACAAGTTTTTGGCTTCTTGTCCACAATAACTGGAGCTGGCTCGTGTTGTCGCCTCACAAAAAAGAATGGTCATGTAAGTTTTCTTTTTCTGTGAGTGTCCTCCAGCTTCCTCACAAACTCCAAAGAGAGTGAACTGGTCCTTGATGTGAGTGTGCATGGTTGGATGAAGTGGGTACAACAAACACAAGTCAACATTGCTTCACACTTTTTCCTACTTTGCTATGTTTCTTTTAAAGTCAGACAACAACGTGTCTATTTGTCTCCTAATTTCTTAATTAACGTCCAGATTTGTCAGCTGCTGCAGCATAATCACACGTTCTCTCTGCTAATCTTTAACTGGTGAGGCAGTTTATCACGTCGGACAGATAACCGACCGGCTCAACCCACCTGTGGTTACTGAGGCTGGCCATGTCCCGGACCGTCTGGGCCGTCTCCGAGGCGAAGTCCAGAGCTCCGGCCACCGGTTTGGTCACGGTGCCCACCAGGCCTTTACCCAGGCCGGAGAAGAAGCCGCTGACTCCGCCCTCCGTCTTCACTCCCTCCACCGTGGACGTGATGATGCTCGTCATGCCTCCGATGATACCTGGAGGCGAGGGAACGTGTTTACATCCTGAGGTGCAGTGATGCAAACTGCAGAGACTCCTGACTAGTCAGTACAGTACAGAAGCTATCAGTTATCAAGTCTAATATATGTCTGCACCCTGTTTCTGACCCGAAGCAGTGATTTTTTAATCTCTCGAGAGCTTCCTTCAGCTTGTTTATCTGCTCGTCCACCATGTTCTGTTTAAAAAGTCCTTACTTCTACAAGACGTGCAGCTCCGTCAGTGAGCGTTGTCCTAATTGTGTCGCAATCACTTATGCGTTTACCCCGTTCATGTGGAGTTAGAAAGTTTGGACAGCGCTGCTATTCGTTTATTTATTGATGTAATCTGCATCACTCCACGATTTAAGGTCGCCTACGTTAGATATGTGAGTATAAGAGTATGGTCTCCACCTTTCAGCATTTCAACGTAAGGATTAAATACTGCACATAAATTAAAGTTTTAGGTGTTCAGGGGGTCCAAAGTGTTTATTTCCAAACTCTATTGTTTTTTGCCTTTATTTGATAGGACAGTCAAGAGAGAGGCAGGAAAGTGGGGAAGAAGAAGAATGGGGGACGGACTCTCAGGAAAGGGCCATGAGCGGGACTCAAACCTGCGTCGGGGGCTATAGCCAGCCCCTGTACATGGGTCTCCAGCTCAACCAGTTGAGCTATCGCGGCACCCAGTTAGGGACTCCTTTTGCGATAAGTGCAGCTGTAAGTATAGCTGGTTGACTGCCATTTGCTGCTTATTTTACCCAGCTGTGTCCTCTCCTTTGCTATCTGCATATTACAATTTTCAAAATCCACTTTGCTGCAGGAAACAACAACCGACCGCAATAATAATTTCAGGTTTTGCAGTGCAGTAAGGCGGCCCTGCTAGTTCTATGCAGTGGATTTTAAAGACATTGCTCACCTCCCTACATGCTGATGTTCCACCAGAATTCAGAGATTGTGATCAGATACAACAAACACAAACAAGTCAGAGTGTTTTTGTGGTTTTACGCTCTCTGTGGCAGCATAATAGTGAGGTGCAGCCACACCATTACGTAGACTACTCGTACCGTGAGCGAGTCCATGGATCCCCGCCACCAGATGCTCTCCGCTGGTGGCTCCGTGGTACCTGATGTACTCCCGCTCACTCTGGTGTCGGTTGTCCATTGTTTTCCCCAGTCCGTCTGACAAAGTCCCCGCAAACTGACGAAGAAGCAGAGGACGCTCACTCTACTGCAAGCTACGCACTTTAACTCAGGCCCAGGGTTACGTTTAATCATCGGTGATGCACCAGTGAACAAAAAAATGTACAAAGTGAATGATTCAACAAGCAATCAAGTCCAAGAACAGGGTCAGGTGTATGTAGGGGTGTACCTTGGCAGCAGAGTTGGACACGCCGTGGGTCACGTTGCGTATCAGACCGCCCACGTTGCCGTATTTGATGAGCTCAGAGACGCCCTCGGTGACGTCGTTGAGGAGGCCCATGGGGTTCCCCAGGAAGTCCACGGAGCCGAGGATCTGAGCGGCCTGGCTGATGAGCTCCTGCAGGGAGAAAATGCTGAAGCATAAAGTTCTGATACACACCAGACTCCTCTTTTTTTTGTGCTCTTAATGAGGTCTGTGTAACAGACTGATGCATACCAACTGTGACATGAATAAAACTGCATGCATGTCCACCATCAGCTTTCAAAGTCCACACGGGTAAATGTGGAAACCATGAACTGGCGTTTTGCTAAACTAATGCGATCACCTGATGATGGCTGCAGAGAGCACAGCTGTCCACTTGTGTTTGCAGAACAGCCTCATGCACCTTGAAACACATCTGCTGTTCATGTATGAGACGTCTGAGTTTTTTTATTGGTGTCCACTTCTTCATTTCTGATCTCATTTTTATTGTCTTATGAAGCAAATGCTGCTGTATCCTCCGTCCCCACACACACCCAGCCCCGGACCAAACGTAACCGTCTATACTAACCCTGAACACATACTTTGTCTATAAACTGTTCATTAACATGGACCACTCGTACACATTCATATTGCACACTCTGTATATAATGTAAATCCTTACCATTAACGTAAAACCTTTCAAACAGCACAATTTGCACCACTATACATCTGTACATCATATTTATCTTGTGCAGTTCTGTATATTATTACTGCTTATGCACTTCTGGTTAGATGCAATCTGCATTTCGTTGCCTTGTACTTACGTGCAATGACAATAAAGTTAAATCTAATTTATATTTCAAGATGAAATGCACTCATTTAAAAGGTCCACAATTTCTACATACATAATATATAAAGAAGACGGAATTGAATTGAACACTGTTGGGACGATGCGTAGCAGCACTTCCCAACGTGCGTGTGTCCTTCTCACCTCTCTGAAGTGCTTCAGGATGTCATTGATGATGATTTCTTGGGTCTCATAGGGGTGAACTCTGGTGAACGGGTACATGTTGATGACGGCGTCCTCGAAGCGAACCAGAGGGAAGCCCAGGGTGCCTTTCAGAGCCTGTAGAGAGGAAAAAAAAAGAACATCCATATTAAAATAAGATAAAGACAAAACATGTGGAGGCAGAGCAGCTGGAACTGGAGGCAGTAACGTGGAATTTCTGTGACCATAGATGGACACAACTTGAGCTTAAAAAACAACTTTTAACGAGTGCTGTTTGCTCTTTTAATCCTTTGACCCTCATCTGAACTCCTAAAAATGCATAAAGATGTTCACTGTTATGGCTTTCTGTTCAGCCCTGCTTTCAGGCAAATCAAACCCTGACTTCAGTCCTGCACTGAAGAAACAGATGTGAGACTCATCTGAACAAATGCTGAACTGGAATGAAAACGCCACCGTCGTCATTATGTTTTTTCTGTCTAACAGCATGCAGCTGCAGTCTTTCACTGGAGTCAGATGACATGTTGCTTCATTACGGTGGCCAACTGACTTGCACATTCACAAACGAGCTGCATATACATGAATGTGTTGCATAAACGGAAATGCGCTGCAAAAGGAAAACAAATGCAAAAGGAAAACGCTGCATATCCAATCACACAACAGAAGTGCCACAGGCCTCTAGGGGCAGTAGTGAGCTTTTCACCTGAGAGGCAGACAGACGGTGAGCGAGACATTAGTTGAAGGAAAAGCTGAATGAAAAGGTGTGTATTCTCTCGTCTCCATGGATAAATAACAGAGAGAACACAGGGAGACGGTAGTGAAACATCACTTCAGCATCCACATAATCACAGTGACTGAAAGCTGAAGACTTAAAAACTGCTCCTGTGGCACTTTCGTTGTACTCTGTCATTTATGTAGCAAGGGCTTGTAATGGACGTTCATTTATATGCAGACGTTCTACACTCTAGCTATAAAAGAAGAGGGAAACCAAAGACCATGTGAAGTTACCTTGAGGTCAGGAGGAAGCTTGTGAGAGGTGAAGACGCTCAGCTTGACCTGAGGGAGGCTGATCTTCAGGTTCTCGAAGTAATACCGTTTGGGAGGCGTTGCGTCTTCGGTGGGCCTCTCATGGAGGTTTTCATCCAACTTCTCCAGCTCTGCGTTCATGACAAACGTGTTACTTTTAAAGCAAACACTACCTGCTTACTCCGAGCATCGTATAAATAACAACAAACTAATCAACCCACCGGCGTCTATCTGTCCGTATCCGAAGAAGCTGAGCAGCTTAAGCAGCAGCTTCTCCTCGATGATGACGGTGAAGCGGCGGGCCGTCACCATGAGGTGCTGTGAAAACATCACGGTTACATCGTTAGTCACGTGTTCGTGCAACAGAAATGTCTATTTTTTTGATGGATGCACGAATTATCTGGTTCTCAGCATAAATCATGAGTCAAATTTTATGCAGCTCTGAGCGATTTAGTGCAGCGGAGCAGCGTGCAACTATCACCTTGAAGAGATCGGTGAGCATGAGGCTGCTGGGAACCTTGACCGAGTTGATCTGCAGGGCCGGACCGCTGTCGTTGACGCTGCTGTCAGTGGAGGTGGGAGTCACGCACAGCATCACGGGCTGAGTGGTACCCAGCAGCTGGTTGTCCACCTGATGAACACAACATGTCAGGTATTTATTTATGCAGAGGTGTCAATTAACTAACATTATTAACACAAAGAAAGGTCTAAATGAGCCGTGATCATGTTGTATTCTCACAGGGAGCTGCAGGAACTAGCTCGCTCGAGCAACGGTATGGTTTTGTTGCCAATAACAGTCGCATCAATCTAAAACTGAGTCATTTCCTCATTGTTGTATTTAGTAAACACGCTTCCTGCTGAATGTGATTGTGGTGAACATGCTCATGAACTAAGAAGGTCTTTCTGATACTATTCTCTAGTGGTTGTAATCCTCGCTGCATGACCAGAACTCAGTGATTTTCACACCAAAAACCTAAAACACAGCACGCTTCATGGAGTCCCTGAGGAGCTGATCACTTCTCCTTCAGCAAACATAGCTTCAGTGCTAAACAGACTTATCAGGTCACCACCCAGTGGAAGGTTTATGCCACAGCTGCCCTTAAATCACAGCATTGGTGATTACCAAAATCATTTCTTATGTTTCTGTGATGGGTTAATACATCAGTATGTAGAAGCTCTTTAACCTAAAAACTAAAGTATAATTATTGTTGTTATCCATGAATTTTCAAATTTACTGTTTTACAAAAATGTAGTTTTAGTGGTTGAATGTGATGCTTGATTCATTTCTGACTTCTCAGAGCTCACCTGGATGTTCTGGATGCTGAGCTCCAACACCTCGTTGGCAGCAGTGCGGGTGAAGTGGACATCGATGCCGGACAGCGTGGTGAAAACAAGCTCCTCAGGAGCCTTGTTGACCAGAGACAGACCCAGACCCTCCTCCAAGTTCACCAGCACCTGGGCATGAACACAGAGCAGACTTGTAGGCGATTGCTTCAAACTTCTGTGGAACTGCACACAATAAATCAAAACACTGGCTGATATATGATAAGCAGTCTCTGGTACCTCCAGCTCCTGCTGAGGTTCAGGCTCTGTCTTCTTCACGTCCTCTTTGCTGCTCTCCTGCTCTGTGCTCGCTGAGCTCCGGATCATTCTCCTCTGATTGAAGTCGCTGATCTGCAAAGAGTTTAAGAAACGACAAACGTCTGTGAGCGGAAATGATAAAGTTCACCGTGCTTGTAATGAAAAGCAGAAATGATCAGACGTATTTTCCTGCTGCTAGGCGACGGTGCTAACCACCGAGCCACCTTGCAGCCCCACTTTAATCAATTTTTAAAAAAAAAAACCCAACTATTCCCTCGTTCTTACCTGCAGGACACGTGTGGGCCCGTCTGGCAGCACCTGGACCGACAGCACGCCAGAACCAGGTCTCATCTTCTGGTTGATGAACTGCTGCTCCGGTCCCGGCTCCAGCAGCCCTGAATCTGGTCCCAGCACCACCTCCGCTCCGTCGTACAAGCCGGTCACCCCGCCCTTCACCTGCAGGGAACATAATACATGATAAATATCACGCTGGGGAAAAAAAAGAAGTAGGAAGACTGTACCACAACTTAAAATGTTAACATCTTAGGAAGGCTCTTTCAAATTCCGTGTCAATAACTCGGGGAGCCGACCTGTACTACGAGTCGGGGAAGGCCGCAGGTCAGCATGCCGGAGCTGAAGTACCACGTCTGAGTGGTGCTGCGACGGGAGTCTGGCCTCCTCAGCATCAACGGCTCGAAACTGGCAAAGATGAACAGATAGCAAGAGAGCGACCGGTTACGACAGTCTTCCACGACACACTTCGGTCCAGTTTGTGGTGACAGCACAGTACAAACCTGTTGTCGCTAACAGCGGCGAGCCCAGCGATGTCCAGCACCAGAGAGGAGTCCAGCGGCCGCGGCTGGGCCGGCTTGCTCTGCGGCGGCGACGAGCCTTCGTGGCAAAGCATGCCGGTCCCCGTCATCCTCCAGAGCTGAGAGCGCTTCCCCGGCTCCTGCACAACAGTCGATGTTATTAAAACACTCATTACAGACTAATTAATTTTTTATACTGTTTGATATTTGCTTTCATCTCCTAATTACTGTTTCCGAGAACCCACGCCTTGTTCTGTACATGCAGAAGTAGAAAAAAGCCACACATCCTCTGACTACGGAGGCTTGAATCGGAAAATTTGTAATGTTCTCTTTTTGACTTCAACATTTAATTAATGTTGAAAAATGCAGGTAATTATAATTTTATTAACTTTATTTATGTAGCACCTTTAAGAACAGTCACAGAGGCAACCAAGCAGGACAAAAGGCATGAGGACACAAGGCAGGGCAGTCAAATAAAATCAGTTACAAAAATGTTAAGTTAAAGGAATAATTAGATTAGGACGCATACTAAACAAAGCTGAGGTCCTACGTATCAGACAGTTGAAGTTGGGGAATAAGACTGAAGATTAAAAATTAGAAATTAAAAATCTAAGAAAATTAAAGAGGACATCACCCCGAAGAACGAGGCAGCGAAAGTTAACATAAAGCAACAGAGAACATGTAAAATAAACGGGTAAATAGTGCATAAATACAGAATAGAACACTAAAACTAGTTAAAGCTAAAAGTAAATTTCACTTAACAGCAAGTCTAAAAAAGCAGGTTTTAAGAAGTGATGTAAAAGAACCTTTCTGGCTATTTCTGATAATCAAATGATCGATTTGGTGCACTTTTGTTTGTCTCTTCTCTTTTAAAACTGCATGACGATGCCTCCATTTAATGCTGTTTCCAGCTTTTAAAGTCACATAAGTGTGACTTTTGGTGGAATCTGTCCATTCAGTTTCTGAACTATGAAAACAAACCTTCTTTTTCAGGATGATCCGTTGAGTCTTGGTGTCCACATCGAGAACCAGTTCAGCGCAGCTCACCTGACGTTTCTTCCCAACAGGTCTCTTGTCAACATTCCTGCAGATGTAGAACGACACAGCTTTGACTTCAACCTTCTAAATGTAAGAGCATGACCCATGTTTTCCACTTAGTCGTGTCCGTACTGTGAGAAGGTGTGCGTGGCCGCGATGTAGATGAAGTTCTCGTAGTAGAGTTTGTTGTACTCTCTGAAGAAGTTCATGTCGGCCGTGACCTCGGAGGATCCGGCTCCCTTCACGGTGAGCGAGAGGCAGGGCGGCAGCGTGGGCTCATCGCAGGCGTAGTCCAGCTCCGAGCTCGCCTTCACCTCGGTGTGCAGCCGGATGTCGGCCACGCCGTGCTGCCAGAACTGGATGGGCACCTGGAGGGATCCAACCAATCAAGTTGATTCTATCGTTACATATTTAGTCTTGGCTGATTTCTTTAGATTTTCCATATTGTCACTAAAGGAAGCAGCGTGTTTGAGGTGTGCCTTAAAATACATCCACAGTTGTGCCTCCAATTAACTCACATGTTGTCAATTAACCTATCAAAAGCTTCCAAAGCCATGACATCATCATCTGGGCTTTCCCAAATAATTTGAAGGCATCTTAGTGAACGTAAACTTCTCACTTTGAAGAAAGTAATAAAAAAATTCTCTCTCTCATTATTCTGGAGTTTAGCAAATAGAAATAATGTTGGTGATCCTAACTGACCTAAAACACGAAAAGTTTAGTCAGACAGTGAGAAAAAAAAAGGTTTTATGTGTTTTTATACAACTCCTGGTTTTAACTGTATGTGTTGGTGTCATAGGAGTTCATGGAGAGAGATCAGGGCATCCACAGGCCGTCATATTTGATTAAATACATTCACAGTTTAGTACTGGCTATGTGATTGAGAGCGGCAGTACCTCAGAGATGTTGTTGATGCGGAACGGTGGAGGCAGATGGTCGGTGTCGGTGAAGGAGATCTGGTAGGTGGCTCCCTTCAGCGTGATCTCCGTCCGCAGGAAAAAACACTTTCCTAGCGTGTCCCTGTTCAACAAGAAGATCCACTTAAAACCTTCGAACAACGTACAGGCTGACGCACTCCTGATCAAAATCTTAGGACCGGGGGAAAAAGTATTTGCATTTTGTGGATCATGACCAGGTTATAAGTAAAGCTTCAAAATGCAAAAAGAGAAAACAGGGACGAAAAACAGTTTATTTATTGAAAACTGCATTTAAACTCAAACAGGCTGCTCATCAGCTGATCAAAAGTTTAAGCAGAATCTGCACAATAATCTGGCTTTCGTGCCATTTTCTGCCAGACATTCACGCCGTCTTGACTTTCTGATGGCAAAGGCAAAATAAAGTGTTTTCTGTCTTTGAAGGAGGCCGGACTGTTGAGCTGCACAAGCAAGGCCTCTCCCATCGTGGGGTTCAGACAGTCGTTTAAAACTTCTTAAAAGATCCTGAGGATTATGGGACAAAAAAAGTCGAGTGGTCGACCCCAAATAATTTCCCCTGAGCTGACCCGGAGGATCTGTGAAGACACAGGCTGATCCTCGACCTAAATTAAGGCCCTCACTGATGCTGACTGCAGCCCAATAACTCTGCAGCAGAAGGGCTTAAAGAACAAAAAGCATCTCCTAAGGCTACGTCTCCTCCGACACCACAAACTTGCCCGTTTCACCATCGTAAAATGCTTATAATTTTCATCTCGTTCTCAAGATTAGGGAGTGTATATAGGACAGGAAACAGTGATGACGATACTCCAATAATCACCAAATGAAAATATTTACGATCCAGATGTAGTTTGGGAGTTCCAAGATAAACAAAGACAGAATTTAGCAATAAAACGAGGGAATGACAGTTAAACTTAGACATCCAGTCACCAATTTAAACATCCAAACTTAATAATAAACCATGTAGTAATGTGTGACCTATAAAAACTAAGTGTAGAAAATTAAAGTTTTTTCTTCAGCTCCTACACGTACTAACTGGTGAAAGGAAAACAACCACTGATTTACACATGAGCCTACAGAGTTATTGTTTGATAAATAACGATTATTAGTGCTGCAAAGTGTACACGTGGCTCACCTCATGTTGACATGGAAGGACTTGGGTTTGTTGACCTCAAAGCCTCCGGACCAGGTGCAGTTGGGCGTGTCCATGAGGCGAACGCACAGCAGCTGGTCGTAGTCGTTTCGAGGCCAGTGGAAGACGACGCTGGAGCCCGGCAGGGTGGAGATGTAGCCCTCTGGGTTGGCCGTACCCTGAGACACGCATCGATAAAAGGCTGCTGTCAGACCGAAGAGCTACAGACGGAGCTTCAACCGTTCACTTTTTGCCTTGTATATATACTTTTTTTTAACTATGTGTATACGTTCATATATATATTTATTTCTTGTCTGTTTTTATTCTTTATTCTTATTGTTTTTTCGGTCTGGAACAGGTGCTAAATGCATTTCATTGTGCGTTATAATGTGTATAATTGTGTTTGTGACCAATGGAGGTCTTGACTCTTGAACGTACAGACAGAAGATTTATCAGGTTCCAGTTGCAGAGTCGTGATGTTCTCTCTGCTCATTCACTGGGATCAGTTGCTTAATCACCTGCTTACTCTCTGAGCACCACAGAGAACGACTTCAGACCTCTTTGAGAGCTGAAGAACTATGAAAAGCTCGTTTCTTTGCATTTTTTTATTGGATCTTTATTGGTGAGATGCAGATAAGATATGTGTAGAGACAGGGGATGATAAAGGTGCCTTCCTCCAACTGAACTGAAGATGTCACTCACTCTTAACCACTACCTTTACCACCAGAACGCCCTCTGAACTGCTCATTTTTCTTTCCATTTCTCACCTTCCCTCTTGCGAACTCTCTCTGAGCAAAGGCCAGTTTGTGCGTGGAGCGGTTGTCGAGCAGGTAGCGCGGGGCGAAGGTGACGATGTGAGTGTCCCTGTAGCGGCCTTTCCCTTTGCGAACGCTGATACCTGCATTGACGAGATGGGGAACAATGAATGCCTGAAAAAAACTCAAACAACAGACACATTTTGGATGGAAAGGTCCCATATTTTGCCCTTTTCAGCAAATTAAGCAAAGCCTCACGAGTCCCCCACAGTTTTTCTTTCAATTTTTAGCTCAGAATAAGGACATGATGGCTCAACACAACTCCTGGTTTTAACTCTGTTCTACTGTTTCAGGAAGAAGACTCTGCATGTGTGAGACCAAGACTTCCTGTTGCTTCTAACTTTCTGTCTGAGCAATGATTTCTCACAATGAGGCTCACAAACAGGTGCAACGTATTAATGGTACTAATGCATACAAAAACGGAGGAGTATTATTAGAAAGGTAGTATCTGAGTCCTGATCAAAGAACAAAACTGGGACAACTTAGAAATGCAATCATAGGAAAGTTGGGAAATTAAATTTCAGGGTCGAGATGCTGCAACATTTTGCGAGCCACAACTTTAAAACCACAGAGGGAGGTCATTAAGATACGTTAACAGGCTGCTGCAGTTTATTTGAATTTGCAAACATTAGTTACCCTATGGTGGCAAAATACCAAAAACCATCCTTAACACGACTTAGAAAATTGCAATGTCAATGCACTATGTCCTTCAATAGCAACGCAAGCTACTAAAGAGAAGTCATTAAATAGCTTTTGCATAGTTTTCCTCAAAGGCTCTGATGGAATCTCGGTCTCAGTTTTTCTCGTGCAAAGTTATTACTTTGCCAAGCCCAGTTCAGTCAAATAATTCCAGTAATGTTTATGCAACGAAGGGACACAGGATAAGCTCGATCTTAGTCAGTCACTAGTTGAGCTAGCACTGTCCACTACCAGCGCTATTCATTTGTGTTGACTCTGAACTTGCCGATGTTGTAGATGAGGCCAGGCCTGTTGCCGTGCTGGATCACTTTCACTGCCCTGACTCCGCTGCCTCCATCCAGGGAGAAGCCTTGGCACCAGCCTGGAACTCCATCGGGGTGGATGCCTTTTCCGATCCGCATTGTGCACCTGGGAATAGACGCAGACGGGGAAATGTAAACATAAATGAACACCGTAACTGTTGGGTAGAAGCTCACGCTCGCTCAGAATTCAGGACTTGATATGGGAGCTCGGTATTCCGGTCACTCACATAGCAGGCTGTTCCTTGTCGGTGTAGCAGAACAGCAATGGACTGAGGCTTCGAGCCAACTCGTGCTCCTCAAACTGGCCTGCTCCGTCCGTCTTGCCGTTGTCCTGACGGAATATTAACGGCAGACCTGAGAGATGAAAGTGGCTTTAGCAAATGGTGACACAGATGTCTGTTTTTAAAGTAATCGCCACATTATAAATGGCCACAATTGTTTTTTTTAATATAAAAACATCACCAGTCTTATTGATGAGCCAGTAGGGGGCAGAAATGAGGATCTTCAGAGCCCCTTGTGCCCGTAGGATGATGCGGATGGTGAGACAAAGGAGGCGCTTGTTGGTGTCGTACAGCCTCATGCGAACGACGTAATTCTGAGTCCCGGGAGGAATCAGCAGCTCTTTGCACACGGGGAAGCTCTCCAGTAGGATTCCTAAAGGGTGCACATCACAAACACTGTGAGTGAGAAGACAGAAAGCCTTGAACAGCCAAAAACTGTTGCTCGACGAGTCATGACCTAGCTCCATGTTCTGCGAGGTGTCGGCAGCGTGAAGCACCGCCTCTTTTCCGGGCTTCAGCGAGCCTTTGATCGTCGTCCCTTTGATGTAGAAGCTGAGGTCACAAGGCAGGAGGTTGGCCACAACCATGGTGGGCAGCAGGTAGATGGTGTGGCCCGGCTGTCGGTAGATCTGGTTCGTACTGCCAGAGATCTGCCTCTTGGCAGGCTGCTGGTCGGGGTAGTTTTCCTTTTTGATGACCACACAAAACCTGCGAGATGCAGAGAAACGAGGGGAATGGAATGGTACCAGAAGAAAACAAGAAGCAGGAAGAAGAACAAAACCATCTGACCGATCGTCTACCTGAAGTTACGCTTGTGGCTGTCGTCAAAGTCCGCCGAGTGGCATTCCCTCTTACTGCTGCTGATTTCTCCAGGCCTCTCCACGCTGGTCCAGTGGATGGGAACCTTACAGAAGAACAAGCCCAGGCCTTTGGGCCGACCCTGCAGGCGCCAGGATGTCAGGTGAAGGGGGACCGCCAAGGACTGGCCGGGCAGGATAGGAGGCAACACCACCGGTTCTGTCAACACAGAGATTCTTTAAGATGACACACAGCAACAAACGAACACATTAAAATTATCACAATTTTCCTCATTTGCAAGATACTTTCTCAGCGTGTCGTCTAGCTTAGCGTCTTTTTCCGGCGTCTGACTTTCCTCTTTCAGAATTAAACATCAGACTTCACGTTAAACCGAACATGATAACCATTAAATCAGACTTATATAAATATTTGATCAGCAACCATAAAAAAACAACTATTCACGTATGCTGGATCACACTAAAGGTCATTTATAGTTAATGAAAGAACTGTGACCAGACAGAAGGTCTGCTCTAGGACATGGTGGGAGGCATGTCTTGTTGCCACTATGAGTTGGGCTCAAAATGCATTTTCAGACCTATTTCCAAACACATCGCTAAGATTTATGATAATTAGACAAACTGGACAAGTTGTGGCCTATTTCCTGCTCCCCTCAGCCTCTCCAAAGGTTTTTGGTTAGTGGCCGTCATCTTTATTTATTTTACATGGCACATAATAATAAAACAGAAGTTCGTTGCTCATCCCTGCGGTACTGTGTCGACAGAGTCAAAATCTAAGAAGTCACTTTTGCACATTAAGCACACGAGCAAAAAATCCTTCATGACAGACTTTTATACTGAGAGAAGTTTTTCTGAAGAAATTTATTTCTCAAAACTTAAGTCAATCAGACTTAAGATATGAGGGGCATGACCTTTACAAAAATGTTTTTGGGCCTGACTCACAGCGCTATCACGAGGCAGACTGGACTAATTTGACAGCACTTTGAACAAAAGAAGGAAAATAATAAAATACAATTGCACATGGAAATCCAATAAAAAAAAAACAACAAATAAATAAAATACATAACGTAAACATACTTCAATTTATAAAGTGTTTAGTCTAACATTATATGCTTTCATGTCGCACTTAAATAAGCTGAAATAACATAAAATAAATGACAATCAAATTAAATAAATACAATATATAAAGTATCAAATAAATACATTGTAATTAAGAGAAATTAAAATGACATCAAAACACACCCTCAGATAGCTTCAACTGTTTATAGGATTATTTAGCATACTGGGACGGTAACAGGGCCAAAACCAGTAAAACGGAGCAGCGTCTTACTGTCAGGCGCAGACGGGCTGTCGAGTCGGACCTCCATGGGAACGTCCAGCCGGTTCTTCACCATGAGGGCAGAGCAGACGGTGATGACCTTCCTGGCGCTGCCCTCCATGGTGATGGAGAAGACCACTCTGACGGGAGGCAGGGCCGAGAACTGAGGGGCCGCATGGGTTCACACACAAAACAACGAGTCACCACGAGGTTTTAAATTCAGGTTTGATACAGTTCACGGTCAGCTGTCCACGTTTTACCATTTTGAACAGGAATGAGGAATTTTTATGCACGTAAACAACTATAATTTGACATCTTAATCAAATAATAATTATATGCTTTACTGTTATTTCTGGGTTTTTGGGGGTAAAACAGAAAATCTGAAAACTCATGTATAACCATAATAATTATATTTCAGCATTAAAAATATCATTTTGTTTAAAGAGCTTCTACTTACTGGTGTATGAACCATTACAGAAACATAAGAAATGATTTAGGTAATTAACAATGCTGTTATTTTAGGGCAGCTGTGGCATAAACCTGACACTGGCTGGTGGTCTGATACATTTGCTAAGCTTTTAACAAACTTTTAACAATTAGGTCGCAATGAAATGAGAAAGACATTCAAGCAGACCTTATTTTAATTAATATGCTATTGATTTAATTCGATGTTGATCCAAACTCAACACTTCCTTAATGTTTACCTGTGATCCTGATGTATAATGTACATTTACTCCAACAGTCATACTCGTCACTTTTTTCTTTCTTTTTTTTTTATTTCATTGTTTTCAGTAGGTTCTTCTTCTATTTTTTATGCAGTTCAGGTCACAAAACTTTAGATTTTTTTTAAGCAAAACACATTCTCCGGCTTTACTTTTTGAGTGGTGATGATCTGCTGTGTTTACTTGACTTATGTGATAATAAACAGCATATAAAGTGCATCATGCTAGCTTGATGCTAAGCTACTTCATTACTAATATTTCCATCTTTATATATTATGCCGGACCTTTATTTATATACATGCCAGCCACTGTTTGATTATTATTTAGATTTAGGAATAGAAATGTTTCTACCGACTGTTCAATGAAACAAGAAGTGACTCACATAAACATGTGGGTGGATGATGTTCGTCCTGCTAATGGGGCTGCCAACCTGTTGGAAATGAGAAAAAGACTCGTTTAACATCAGAAACAAGCTCCTACAAAAGCCTTGACATTATCAATATAAACATTTGTTTTTATTGAGGTTGCGCTCACAGTGTTGGACGAGTTGTTTCGGTCCGGAGCTGCGTAACGGAAGAAAACGCCCACTTTGTCCACAGACACCGGCTTGACTTGCTCCCATCCACAAACCCGAACCAGCAGCTGGTGCAGCTTCAGCTCATGAGTGTGTCTGCAGGGAAAAAAAGGATCAGCGGCACATAGCAACGACTTCCAAAGTGCATTAGTGGATAAAGCATAGTTCAGACTGGGTTTTACAGGTCAAAGCAATGCACAGGAGTGTCGTATGTTGTTGTAGTTGTAGGAGCCCTACTGCAGGTCATTCCTCCTGACTGTGATGTGACTGTACAACGTCAGCATCACTGGCTGATTTTAACCAAACAGACAGAATTACAGACTGTTTACAATTCATTTCTGCACAGCAAAAGTGTAAATATTGTATTTTTGTTCCATTCAATAGCATATTTTTGTTATCATTTTGCATACATACTTATTTTATTACTTAATTATTGTTATTTCTTTGTACGTTTTCTTCATTTTTTTTGGATGCTGCTGTGGCGTGTACATTTCCACCAATGGGGGATGAATAAAAATAATTCTATTGTATTCTATTAGTATTATGCCACTCATGAACACAAATACACACAGGCCAAAATTATTCCCCTTAAAAAAAAAAAGACAAGCAGAACATTTGTGAAAGTTGTAACAGGTCAAAGTAATTCACTATTCTCTGCTCCGTATTTGCAGACATTTTGTTTTAGATTTTTAATGTTAAAATCGTATTTCAAATAATACAACAAACAGAAATACTGGGGCAGAAACCTGATACCATTAAGTTATTGTACAGTATCCTCAGCAAAGCAGATGTTTCATAACAATTCTGCTTTCAGACGGATCAAACCAGTGAGAATAACAACCAGCCAACAGGATCATATTCACTGGATAAAAAGCACGGCTGCTATACGTGTGAATCAGAGTTGTACCGGTGACGAAGCTTCTCTCGGGCCTCGAACTCAAAAGGGATCTCCTCCCCGGGCAGCACCTCCCTCCACTGACTGACGTTGTGGGTGTCATCAGTTCCTGGACCGTGGACGTCTGAGATGGAGTCTGCACTGCTGCTGTGAGACAGCGCCACCCTGTGGGCAACATGGTGAAGATTAACTTTTACTGTTTGGATGGAGGTGTAAACTAAAAGCAGTGATTAGGACATTTACTTCTGCTATTCCTCGAGCCCCTCTAACACTAGAAGAGCTCTGAGGTTTTACAAGCCCCTGATAATTTGACTCATCTGCTACGTGACACTTCGTAAACCAACAATCGTCCAACTTTGCATCGACCTGCATTCTCACTGCTTCCTCAATGAGCAGCTGTCTTGCGGTCGTCCATCCGGTTTGTTTAAATGCTAGAGCTCCTTCTGCTAACTCTAAAAGCCACAAGCAGAGCTCCACCAACTGTTGGCTGCAAGAGTGAACACGAGAGGCTTCATGCACTCAAAGCATCCAAGAAACCGGACATCCAGTGGATTACTTTTATTTTTAATTATTATAGCAACAGAAAACTCCTGAGTGTTACTGTGTGGTGCAGTTTATCTGGATGATGTTACCATTAGCTTTGATCGTACGCCCACATCGGCGCTCTGTGGAAACTTTACAAGTGATTTTAAGCCAATAAACAAGGACTGAGTGTTTTTGATGTCACCTGTTGTGTTTTAGTGTCACTCAGTCTCAACTAGCTATTTGTTTTTAACAAAACCAAAATGAGACCAAATACCTTTTGTTTAAATAAAAAAAAAAAATAGATTTCTTACAAGCAAATATGAATCATTTAACATTTTTGTGATGTTGCACATGGCTGAACCTACTTTTGTTGTTCACTTTAACTTTCCGTCGTCTCATGCTGCAACCTAAAGCTCCTTTTGAGCCTAAGATATGAGACGGAAGAACTGTTTCCAAACATACAAATGCCCCTGGAAGGCTAACACTCACTCACCTGGTGGGGGTTGTAGTCAGAGTGGCGAAACACATGGTGCATCCCGTGTGGTTGCGCAGAGCGTACGGCACAAACGGCTGCCTCCTCTTGGACAGCTTGACATCTGCAGGAACCGAAGTGAAAACCCAATCAGAGAGGAGACAGGAGTGCTTGGTGTTTTAACATTACTTCATTTGGTATTTTGACTTTGCATAGTCATGCACTTGCTTTTGTCTCCTGCTAAAGCGCAGCCATGGCACAGGTGCATGAGGATGTACTTGTTTAAAGGGGCACGCCACCAGTTTTACACACTAGCTTAGTCATCAAAGGGACAACTGGTCGGGCTGTGACAACTGCAGCATATTATCTATTATCTCTGAAGTTAGAACTTATGATTTATAAGTTCAAATTGGCTTCGCTTCATGTTGTACACATGCTCATACATTATACAGAGATCAATATGTGGAATCAGCTGTTCAGAACACAAAAATAAATGGTAATTTGAAGAGTACTTTAAAACATATGAGGTCACTTCTCAGCCTCTCTCAGAAACAAGGGGCGTAACTCCTCCACATGGGTCATTCCACCTCAATTCACCGAATCCCCCACGCCTGACCGTCTTCAATTTGACAGATTTTTTATTTTTTATTTTTTTTAAATGTGTTGAATACTGATCGAATTGTTCATGTGTAAAATCCGGGGTCACTGTTTTTTTAATTACACGTCCATGTGTGAGTGTCGTGTTAATTTTTGTTTTGCCAATCTGTGGAGAAATGTTTGAAGTGCCACAACTTGAGAAATAACGTGGCTACAGCCATGAAAGTTTGTAGGCTCAGTAGTATGTAGATATGGTTTCCAATGGTACGACCCTGCTCTGATAGAATAACACAAACCAGTTATATTTCAGTGTTTCTGTCTACTCTGATATTAACCAAAAAACCTGTTATGTTTCTGTTACGTCATCAACAGGTGCCTTTAAATGTCGAGTATGGTGCCAGTCAGACGGACACTTTACGAGAGAAAATTTGTTTGTACGGCCAATATTTGAACATGCAATGAGCAGGTGTGATGGTGAAACCACTCCGAGAGCAGCCCTATAGAAGCCAATTACATAATAACGGCCGAAAACGTAATAAATTTGCCATTTTTAAAATGCAATCGGTCAATAACATATTAACTTTTTATGTTATTGGCTGGTTATTACGTTTGCAAAGACTTTTTTTTTTTAACCAGACCAATAAGTTATCATGTTATTGGCTATCGGTTACCGTTATCGGTTCAGGACTTCATTACATCATCGGTCAGTTATTACGTTATCGGCTTCTACAAGCCCCAAAAGCAGCTTTAAAAGTTTCACCACCTGTAACCAAAATGTTCACGTTTTATTTTCTAACATATTTACGCACAGAAAATAAATCTGATAAATATGAGACGGTCAGGCGTGAACTTTTAACACTATGTGAATTGAGGCATGACCCATTTATATGTATATATACTACATATACATATATATAGCTACTTACCATCACAGTATCTTATTTACTGCCTGCTGGAGAAAACAATCAGACACCGCTGGAAATTTGTAAATTTTGTTGAAAAGTAAAGCACACACAAATTGGAACCGCTGCTATAAACCAACTTTTGCTGCCAACAGGGAACCCCTGTGGTTAGTAGAAGTTTTCAAAGTGTTTATATTTAGCAGATGAAAAAGCAAAGTCTAATAAACTGCATGTTGTGCTATCAAAGCACCACAAAAGATAATGACCAGATGATGCAAGATGCAGCAATCATCATAGAAGACCACTGGTGCCATAACGTCAAGTGAACTTCACGATGGATTCACAACTACGGGCCATGCAGTGGAAAACATGGAGGTCATGCCGTTTAGCCAAAATGTAAAGCAAACACGCAGAAACAAGGAGGGAAGACAAGACGGGAAAATCTATTCAGCCTGATTTTATTTACTGTCGTCATCGCTACTCTAATCTGCGACACGGCTGAATATGCGATCATTCAGTTGTGTAGCAGATTAAACTCAACTACAGTCGAGAGAACCAGACGGAGTTCCTGCAGTAATACGACTAGAATCTCACTATTCCAGTGCTGTGTCTGTTTAACGGCACTTCAGGTTGATTTATAGACTTATCGTTCTTATTTTGGATCTGTGTGTGTGTGTGCATGCTCTTCTTTTTCCCCTTTTCTCTCGGTTTAACGTGCCACAGACTCCATTTAATGAAGATGATTGTGTGTTTTTATGTCCGTCTTACAGAGTGCTACCATCACTGCCCCCCTTTGCTCATCCTGCTTGCAATCCATTAAATTATTTATGTGTTGATCCAACTGCTCTGTGTACCTTATATTGCCCCCAGGGGACAAATACAGTTTGATTCTAATTTTATGCCCCTGGTTTTGTCACTGGCCAGTTATCCAGAGCCATAATTACATGAGCATTATGTGTGTCTTTACTTGGCAACTTGCTGCTTTTTCATGTTTGTCTAAAGGCTCACAACATCACCATCGCATTGATAAAAGTTATTTTGGGGGCCTTTAGATTGCATTAGTAGAAAGAAGGAAAGTGAGAAAGAGAAAAGAAACAGCAGAGGCTGTGGTTTACAGTTGATCCCTTCACTGTGTGTCTGCATCGTATCGCAGCGCTAACGCTAACGTCAGCTGAAATCTACACTGTGATCACTTCAGGGTTTGGTCTGCATTCTTTTTAAGTGAATGGTCGTACCAGGACCGTATGTTTCCCAGCAGAGCATTGCACTGTAATGCATCCACCTACTTGTCAGAGATAAGTGTGCATTCCTTTATTACACTGCAAGATGCTCTAAGGAACAATTCACGAGGACTGAATGAGATGTGAGACCGAGTGTACTGCTGAAGGAGGCTTCAGTCTGGGCAGCTAAACTCTGAACTGTACCTCTGGAGTGAATCTGCTGCTCGAGGCATGTCAAGCTGGCTGTGCTCCTAGTTCTAAGGTGAGCAAGAGGTGCACCTAACAGCAGAGAGAGACAGTTACTGCACAACAGAGACACATGCAGAGGGAACATGTTAAAGGGTTAGAGGTTGGTCATCCGTAAACACAACGCCGCGTCGGCACAGCGGCGCTTCTCCGCAAACCTAAACTTTAACCAGGAGTGCAATTCATGCTTCACTTCAAATCATCTCTCAGACAACATGTCACAGGTTCATTCTGTTCCTATTCAACCAAAGGGAGGAGGAACCTGGTGGATAAGTGGCAAGCTTTGTGATTGATTTGATCGATTACCTATGTTCATATCAAATAAGAGAACCATTACAAAAAGGTGAAAATCTGTTTGTCAAAATAGAGCCGCCCATCAACCAAGTTTCTCTCAGGATAAACACATACAACCGAAGCACCCGACCAAAGCTCTACTAATCTGACAGCAGCTGCTTTGAGGATGCCTTGTGTGTTTTTCTGTTACACAGGCAACAACATCACCCAGATACACAAACAACGGTGCACACTTTCTTCACTGTCCATTTAGCTGTACAACGTTACAAGACTGGAAATGATGCTGTGTAGCTTGTCTTTTGCCACCTGGTAGTTCTGGTATTTTTTTACTACAAATACATTTGAAACACTGCTATCTTTTTTTTTTGTTATTTAGATTTTTTTTCTGCACTAATCAGCGATTTATTTGCGTGTCCCTGGAACTCACTCTGTCCAAAGCTGGGTGGGTCGACGGAGGAGCCGATCCAGGGCAGAGGGGGTGAAGACTGAGGGCTCGGCTCTTCCTCGCTGCAGTAGTCAGCTATCCAGGAGCTCTTGGTGGTGTTGTATTGTTCTGGAATGGCAGATATAGACGTGTTCAACATCAAGCGTAACACCGGAACACAGTTTGATGTGTTAATCCTTGCATACTGTTCATATTTCTGGGTCAAAATTGACCCGGACCAAGAATTCCCTCATAGTAAGTGTCCACAACAAATTTTAAACTACAGATCTATTTAGAATGTCTAATTAGTCTATGTGACATTAATACATGTAGGACTAATCTTTAATAAATCTCTCATAGAGCAGGGAGAATGTATTTTCTAACATTCGTTTTTGGAGAAAAACATCTACTACTACAGAGTATCACGTCCTGTTTTTACACAAGACATAAAAACATAAAGGCCAAAATGATTTAAATACATATTTTTTATTGATTTTAAAAATGGGAAGAACATTTTGGAACAGCTGGAAATTATAATGATAACTATGTTTAACTGCTGCAACCGTTAAACGCTGTCCTCACATAACTATCAGTATTAACTGAACATTTACCACTTAGAACCCAAAACATTAAATAATAAAACTGCTTGTTATAAACTGGTCTCTGCATTCAAAGCATTGGTAGGAAACTTTACGTGCACACGTGTTTCCCACATTTGCTGCAGGTTGTTCCTGTTTTGCAGTCCGTCTTTTCGGTGTTTGCATCTCCGTCTCGTCTGTCCCGTTGTGTTAGCTTAGCTCAGGCACCTTTATAACGTTACGAACCCCCCACCACCACCCTCGCAACCCTTTTTGTTCATTTTGAGTTCTTTTAGGAAAAGTCATCAAATTTTAGGCTACAAGAATGACGTTCAGGGTGTTTTTACTGCTGTCAAAAGTCAAAACAGGTCAAATTTGACCTCCAAAACACTGTTCAGCCTGCTGTGTATGGTGAGAAGTGAACAATATTCCCCTCATTTACTTACCGAGCAGCACAGAAGTAATGTTGACATCTAGTCTCTGTTTGGCTCGAATCCCCATCTTGAGACGTGGAGGGTGGAGACGGCCGGCAGCCTGCTGCTGCCAGGACAGGAAGCAGGGCCAGGGCTCGATGAAGGGCTCCCAACCTGACAGGCAGGTAAACACACACAATTATATATATATAATAAGGTTTTAACAGGTGTTTATATATATATATAAACACCTGTTAAAACCTTTGGGATACTGCACTGACTTATGTTCATGACTCTATAGTAATAGACCTATAAGTGAATTCCCCAAGAAATCAGCCAAAGCTGGACCTACAAAACTGAGACGTGAGGAGTGTCCTTCATAAGAAGTAACGTTTCCATATCCGTTAGGTCCACCCAATAATCTCACTTGTTCTGCATTTGACTGTCCAGCTGCTTATTGAACACTATTAAATGGTTTTAGCTCTAGTTTTAATTCAGTACAAACTAAACTGATGGTAAACCTCCAGAAGAACGGAACCCAATTTCCCACATTCAACATCTTTCTGCTGGAAGCAGAATTAATGTTTTTGGTTTTTCTGGGCCTGAACAAACATGAAGCTGGATTACTTTCATGGCCAACTGAACAGTGTACAACATGCTGTAAGTAAAGTGAGTTACCCGACAGCTCTCTGTTGTAGTAGTCTCCAGACAGAGTGAAGCTGGCGTTGCCTTCCTGGGTGGAGCCAATGCGCTGAAGCACATAAAGCCCTGCAATAATAAAGACAAAGAAATGATCAGTGTTATCAGGCTGCTGCACTACTTCCACTGTAGTTCCACATGAAAATTATAAAGAGATAAGCAACACCATGAAGTAATATCGTTGTAATCATTTCAGACATGCAGGGTGGGCGTCACCACCACGGGGGCAAAGTTTAGGGCTGATCCCAACATCACTGGTGGTGTTAGTCATAGCCACGGTTAGCTAACGGGCTACAGATATTGGTATGACAATAAACTTACCCGCCTGTGCAACTATGAGGTGGAAAAATATCTCTATAAACCCAGCAAGCCTGAGAGTGAACAGCAGTTTTCTAGTTTTCTAAAGGCATTACCACCCTTGTGGTACCTGCTGTTGCTAACCGTATCACTAATGCTACCTTGTTAGCTGAAGTGAAGCTTCAACCACAGTTAAGCTGTTGACAGTTGTTTATTTTTTTGAAATTCATTCATCTGTTTTTGTGAAGCACAGCTCATCGTGTATTTAGCGCTGCGATTACGTAGCTCAGGTAAATAAGCCTTACTAGAGAAGGTGAGCTCAGCCAGTGGTATGTCGCAGTCCAGGCAGTCGTCAATGAAACAGATGCAGACGCTCTCGGCCTTCACTTCCACCCCGGAGAGAAGAGCTGAGGGGCTGCTGGTGCCAGAGTCGGCCCTGGCTCTGGGATGTCCCGCCATGCTCTCAGCGTTCTCCAGCAACCACGTGGCCGCCTGGTCCAGCTGACCTGTGGGACAAAGCGCTCTGTTTTTGTACAGGTTTCACTAAATGCTGGTCAAGTGAGCTGTACCTTCCAGGCCACCAGGTGGAGAAAACAGAGTGAAAGGTGTCACTCACCTTTGCAGTGGAGCAGGGCTCTTTTGCAGTCCTCTTTCCTGAATCCAAGGTCTTGTAAATGGTTCAGCTGGCCCTCTGTGGAGACAAAACAGCAACTCAACAACAGACGTTGATCCAAAGTGCTTTCCCTTCGATTAAGAATACAAGGACATGACTAAAAGAAGAAAAAAGTACGAATTAAAATAAGGAGTGGATCATTCAAGATACAAACACTGTAACATGAATATAAAAACTAATAACATCACTACAGACGAAAAACTCAAAACATTACTAATGAAGTATAAAGTACAAGATGAAGAACAGGAGAGTAAGAAACACTCATAACAAATGCAAATGAGCGACAAAATGAATATATTTTCAGATTAAAGCATTTTACAAACATCAAGTCTTGTAGCACTGGAAATCAATGCAACATAACTAAGTTATGCAAAAACAACTATCCATCAGCATGCATGGTGGATTTATAGCTGTGGCAGTGCTGAACCAACAAAATAGGAGGGGAGGGGGACCAAGTCATGAGCTGGTGCGACCAACCAAGACAGTTGGTAACACCAGTGGAAAAGTTAGTCTGGAGCCCTGTTCATACATTGGTCTTTACACACCTATGAGGCCCTCAGTCTTCTGTCTGAAGATGTCTTTGGGTGTAGCGGTGGCCTCACTGGTGGCAGCAGAGGTGGCGTCAGAGTCAGCTGGCAGTGGAGAGCTGGCAGTAGGGATGGACTTTGCGATGGCCAAGAAGAGCTGAATGTCATTGTAGGACAGCCGGATGTCCAGAACAGGAAACTGAATCTGCCAGAGAATCATGTCCACAATTAAAGGGACAATCCAGACAGTTTACACGTGAAAGTTGCTATTTCTGGGAAATAATAGTGATCCTGTGAAAATGTTTTCATTCCTCAGATCTCAGTAAACAAACCATCATCTAGACGTAGAGTCACATTAAAGACACAAAGAAAAATTAAATCTTTTCTGAACCCGTACTACACCTGATACCTGTCTCACTTGTTTTGACCTTTCTTTTTGAATGTACCATTATACAAAGAACTTCATGACAGTAAAACACTAAATCAGTGTCTTTTAGGAGCAATGCTGCTGACAACATCGTTAAAGTTGAAGCTGAAGACCTTTAACGATAGGAAAGAAGCCAAAATGTTGGTGACCACTCGTGCGGTCCTCTACGCCACCCACAGTTACATGCTGCTCACTTGTTGCTTGCTAAGTGCTAACTCCTCACCTCTAGCAGCGGTGGAATGTCCTCCACATTGAAGGCGTCCAGCAGACCCGAGCTGCTTTGGTACGTGGGGCTCCCACACAGCTCCACCTGGATGTTGACTGGGTCGATGATGGACAGCGCCGTCTCTTGCTCGCTGCCCAGTCGACATGAGAACACCTGGGGGGCGACACAATTCCTCAAATACAAAGCCAGGAATATTATGACCAAGTAGCACTGCAGGACTTATTTACGGTACACTAATGGAATATTAAACACCAAAACATCAAATATAACAATGTGCTGAGCATCTTTGGGCATCATTTGGGCCACTAAGAGTAAGAGGAGGACAGGAAGTTGTCTTTATAAGGGAGTGCAGGAGGCAGCTTAAGAAGTAGCAGGAATAATATTTACTGCATCAACAGAAACACAATCAGCACTTAAAGCTCCTTCCTGGGTAGAAATAACAGTACTGACAATGAAAGTACAGGTGGTACTACAGAAACAATGGTAGTACCAAGAGTAGGTCAGTTCATCTCTCCCAACTTTAATAAAGTGGTCTTTTTCAGATTGGAATTATGAGATTGACTGATATGATGCTGTGACTGTGAGAAACGTCACCTCTATTCCTGCAAGGCTGCCTGAGAAGGGTCTGTCCAACAGCCGGGGTTTGTAGGTGAGGACGGTGGTGCCTTTCAGAATGATGGCGTTGGTATCCAGACAGGACAAGTCCTCCAAAACAACAAACTCTGTACCTGTAGACCAAATAACAATGGAACACTTAAAAGGCAAACTCTGTAAAATACACAGGCAAAGTCATTACGGGCTCATATTTGGAGATTCACATGAAGTCGTGGGTTATTCATAACTGAAGAACGTCTTCTGGGCAGGTCCACGTAAGACTAGAAATCCAGAAAAAGTAAACATTTGCCAGAATTTTATTGTGTCAAGATATAGGTTAATGAAATGCTGATATCTGATAAAAATAAAATATGCTGGACCCACTTTGGTATCAATCAACAGCAAATAATGTGCCTGCTCATGAAACCGTATGTAGGAGTTCACTGAAAATGTTTCTTAAATTTATATTATTAAAGTTATAATTGACATAATTAAACGTGTCTCGTCTGCTGAGATAAGTCAGCAGCTGGGAGAAGGTTGATGACAATAACCATAAAGAATCAAAGGTAATACGTCACACAACTGGGATATGAAACAACTGTGTGTGGTGACGGTCCTTTACTTCATATAATTGTAAAATAACAAGTGGTTGCGGAAAAAGAAATGTTTTCTCTACACTCACATCATTCGACAGGAAGCTTTTTGGGGGCCAGGATTATTTTTTAGTGTCTGATTTATATGAAGATGTTATTGCAAAGACCAGAACAGACTGTGGAGAGGAACCAAATGAAAACTGAAGCTGTGCCGCCTACGCTCTGATCGTCGAGCCATTCT